TCTTTAAACATAAACTTCATCCTGCATCGGCCGTCGCGCAGATTATCAAGGGTCGCTTTATCTGCTGTATACAGCAGGGTGGATAAGCGAAAACATGCTACTGTTGGCACCTCTCTTCCTTCTTTTCCACCTATTACTCTTACTCCCATCCCGACCCCCATTACTAATCTTCTTTCTATATTTCCCAGCTTAACTGACAGAGACCGAAGTGCCACTGGAGTAGAACCACCTGCAGCCACCTTCCCACAACACCCACCAGAAGCCTAGCGGCAACAGTCCCTTATAAGTCCATGCTGTCCCATTTCCTGACAGCTTCCCTGACGTTCGCACTCTAAGACAAATAGGTCAACACGATGCACTCGCACGCACCTTGGACACACTGGGTATTGATATATGTTGTGTGTCCAAAACTAGGATCAATGACACTAATAGGGTCGTTGAATTAATTGCGCCCGCCTTATCCTCTAGCTATTGGTTGCATGCATCCGGAGACGCCGATACAGCACTCACGGGTTAAGCTGGTGTAGACATCATCCTAAGCGACAAGGCTGAGCCATCGAAGGGTGATTGCATTCCGGTGAACAGCCGTTTGTGTGCAGCCCGTTTGACGACATCATCTAAGGTTGATTCACGAAGTAGTACAAAACGCCGTTTACTTGTGATTTCCGCTTATGCTCCCACCGAATGCAGTTCAAATGCTGTCAAGGACACATTCTATCACGAACTGAACGCGCTACTACGCAGTGCTACCACTTCAGATATCACAGCATTTTCAGGGGATATGAACGCACAACGAGGGAGTCTGAGCTCTTCAGAAGCTCAGCTGGGTGGTAAGTATGGGCTTAACTCCGAACGGACTGAATGGCGAGCGTCTGTTTCAACTGTGTGCGGAGCACCAGTTGTTTATTAGTAGCAGTTCTTTCAGACGCACTGGGCGCCGAAGTACCACTTGGCGTCCTTCTGTACCTGGCCAGCGATGGACCCAAATTAACCACATAGCCATAAGTTACAGATGGCGTGGTTCCATCATGGATTGCCGCTCGTACCGGAATACCTGCGTAGACTCTGATCATGTCTTGGTACGTTGTGGTTTCTCCATGAACTTTACTGGGAGGCGCACCAAGTGTCCCCTCCGATTGGCAGCTGAGAAATTGTCTCAGTCCTCGGTAAGGCAAGTCTATCAAGACGCACTGTATACCGAACTGTTTGGTTCTAATGACACTGAGCTTCAGTGCACGACGCAGGAGCCACTGCTTCTGACACAATCAATCGTCACTGCACCAGTCACTGGATATCCGAGAAAAAGGTGAACCTGTTAGAATCTAGAAGAAACCTCCCGGCTGGCTCTGAGCACAATGTGACCAGACGGGATATTAGGCGAGAAGTAAAGCGGAGCTTACGTGATGACAAGGAAGCCTGGTGGACCAGTCGGGCTCAAGAAATGGAGGAGGCAGGAGCAAAAGGCAAGTACCGCAAGCTCCTCCAAATGATCCGCAACACCGGTCACAGGAAACCAAGCGTCAGTGACAATCAGAGACAGCGTGGGTGCACTGATACACAATAAGGAGGGCCGTGTGGCACGTTGGGCGGAACACTTTCAAGATCAGTTCAGCTGGCCACTTGTTCCTAATCAGGTGATGCAGGACGAGCCGTGGATGGTTTGCTTAGAGGTCCTATCGGAGGCTGAGGTCCGAAACGCGATAACAACCCTCAATCGTTTCCGTGCCGCTGGTCCGGACTCCCTCCCACCTGCACTATTTAAGGATGGAGGTCAGATCCTCTGCAAAGCACTGACCTCTCTGTACGAACATGTCTAGAAGGAGACCGCGCCGGCCAAATTGAGCGCATCGATTATAGTGTCGGTATACAAGTAGGGCAGTCACACTGACTGTGCTAATCACAGGGGTATTGGCCTAATGTCAGTTGTACCATAATTATAGGCTTCAACTCTGGTTCGTCACCTCAATGTGGAACGGGAATCTCGGATTTGGGAAGAGCAGGCCGGTTTTCGCCCAAGGCGTAGGTGTATAGACATAATTCTTTGCGGCAGATGCTAGAGCAGCGCCACGCATACCGCAGACCGACAATAGCTGTGTTCCTTGACTTCAAGAGTGCGTTCGATTTAGTCGATCGACTGATTCTGTTCAAAATACTTGCGCGGAAAAGTGTTCCCATGAAATGTGAACATCCTTCTTACTCTATAATCGAACACTACAGGCCGCGTCAGGATCTACGGTGGCCTAGCGGATAGCTTTCCGACCACAAGTGGCGTTTGTCAGGGTTGTCCGATTTCCCCATTTCTGTTCGATTTCATCGTGGACTGCATCATGGAGTGTTCCCACACGGAATCTCACGGTTCAGGCGTTGAGGTCCGGCCTGGTGAAAGGTTGGTTGATCTTAATTATGCGAACGACATCGTCTTGCTTTTTGACAATGTTGCGGCATCACAATCAACCCTAAATAGCCTCTCTAGAGTGGTCCCATTATTTGTTATGTGCTTCGCACCGTCAAAATGTAGTGCTGCTGCAGGACCACTAGCCACTTTATGACCCCTTGGCCCTTGCTAACGAGGAACTCGAGGTGGTTGATCAATTCACTTATTCTTGGCAGCTGCATCAACAACGATGGCCGTTTAGAAACTGACGTCAGCTCACACATTGCAAAGGCCAGACCTACCTTCTTAAACCTGCGGCATCTTTGGAGGCAGAAGGTAGTTTCCCTTCGTCAGAAAGACCGTGCATAGAAGACCACAGTGAGGACCGTTCTGCTCCATAGTAGTGAGACTTGGCCCTTTCGGTCTGAAGATCTGAGACGCGTTCAAGTCTTTGATCATCGTTGTCTACGAAGCATTGCTGGTGTCGCATAGCACCAGCGTGTCCGTAACGATGATGTGCGTATACGAGTATTAGGTAATGAAAATCATGCTAACTCCCTAGAACAACAGATCGCTCTGATTAAGTCGCGTTGGCTCGGGCACGTGCTACGTATGCCTGGTCACCGCTTACTTAGGAGGGCCTTGTTTAGTCTGCCAGGTGTAGGGTGGCGCAAGGCTCGTGGTGGACAGAAGTTGACTTGGCAGCGGGAAATGAAGTTACTGACGGCCAAACTGGGTGCCGTTGGTCCGTGTCGTCTTGCGGGCTGGAGTCCACGTGACTGGCCTTGTGCTTGGCTCGAGACTTCATAGGACATGGCTCGCTGATGTCATTTCATCAGTGGCGCGTATGTCGCTGTCTCCTAGTCGGACTGCTTCTTTAAAGTGTGTTTGGTGCTAAGTTATCTGCGGGGTGATGGCTGATTATGAGGCATTACAGTGAAAGCCGCCAGGAAGCTGTCTCGCCGATAGCGCCTTATCATTGCACGATAGCCAGCTGTTTGTGATGGCATGTTGTCCACACAAGATGTAGGCGCCTTGACCCTGAATGTTTGCTTGGGGCATTAAGGTTTTCCGGTAAGTCCTCCTTCTCCCCCTTTTATTATTCTTTATTACATAGGTCATCATGGTTGTATGGCAGCGAAGCATCAGTTCAAATGGCTGATGTACTGCTGTTGATGAAGTAGTGAGTGTCAGCCAGCTCATGGAGTCTGTCAACAGGCGGTTCAAAAGTACTATCCCGTGTCCCAGTCGCACAATAAGAAAAAGTATTTCATATTCAAACCTACGTTATCACCATGGTCGGTTGACCCGACTCGTGATATTGCTCAAGGACGAGAATAGCGAAAAAAGAAAAGCAAGTGTATCAAGTTCGGGAGTGGAACGTACAACGGAATACGGGTGTGAAAGCAGTTTAAAAGAGAAACCTTGTAAACTAAGTTGAGAACATGCTAGGCAGAAAAAGATGGGAATGAATGTACATTTTGAAGGGGTTGCGTTTTGCTGGAACATCAAAATTTAAATAGATGCGCCAAATCCGAACTAATCCTGACGTGTGAACAAACTGATTGGTGGGAGGCCACAGAAATCAGTGGAAACACAATTCACCAGCCCATTGTTCTGAATCAGTTCGTCTCTCAATATACTATGGGCTTTGATGTATTGGAAAGATAAAACATGACGAATAAAAAAGAATCCCTATATTGAGAACTACCAGTTTTACGTACACCTATCAGCATGAGTGCATCAAGTACAACGACAGAAGTGAGTGTTGGCCAAAGCGCGAAAGCCAAAAATACTAAAAATGTGTGAAATCAAACAGGACCGAGGTATCCCCTTGAGTTACAAATGCTACAGTGAGACAAACAAATCAGACATGTGAACTACTACGCCATGGCTGCAGAAGAAAAATATGGTAAAACCTCCGAAGTTGACCACCTGTATATCCTGACTACCTCTAAGTTCACCATTTTATTGTTATTGCTTGAACGTTTATCGTGTAAACGATATGGATGCAGATCTCTGTATGTTGACTACCTCCCTATGTTGACCACCTTGTTCCAATCTCTTGAGTGGTCAACTTCCGATGGTTTTAATACATTTCGATTTGGCACCGAAGACAGGAAGTCCAACAATATTTGGGTCGAGCAATAAATAAATGGTTGGATGGTGACAAGCGACCGAGACCGTGCGAAATAGAGAACTGGTTGGTCGGCTCATCCAGTCGAGAGTAGAACAAATTGTATAGCCTGAAGAACGAGGGAAACCTGACGCTAAGATAATGAGTGATTCCCAAGTATATAATAAATGACTAGGAAGGCTGAGTAGGCAGTTGCCGATCCTGATTATGTCAGGAATCATAGGGACAGAAAACACTATTACGAAAAGCCTTGGATGCCATGGCTGGAAAGCCCCAGCTCAAATGATTTTAAAACACGTCAGAATGTGAGAAAATAAGTCTAAAAGCAAACACAATCTGAGTGTAAAAACCCACATTCGGAAAGCACACGGTAAACGAGAATTTTCAACGTGCTAGAGGATACAGAAAAGTACAGAAACAAAGTGCTACGAAATGCAATTAAAGCGGTAGCGATTGTAAATATAGCCGGTTCTTAGGCACATAACTCACTAGGACGGCCAGATAATGTCGATCGGGATACGGTAATGGCAGATCTGCATGAAACAAGTGAGCCTGCATTTTCATGTAGCATTCCAAATATTCCGGATGGAAGCCCATCACGCAAATATAATTCTCAAGCCTTCCCCACTGAAACCAATATTCGCGGAATAAAGCGTATGTCTGGAAAGGTGGACAAAGAAAGTTCATTGAACGATGTATTGCAATTGGGAAACTGTTAGATAGTGTAATGGGAACTTCATGAAAACGAATACAATACTGATTCAAGTAGATCGCCCGGAATAGCCACCAGCAAACATTAACAAGCAGCTTATCTACAATCAGATTCAAAGAGTGATCATGGTAAATGAGGCGTTTAGTAAAAGCCAGTTGCATTAAATCGCGAAGACTATCTGACTTTGTAACGGCAAAAAATGATATAGTTAAGTAGAGCAAAATGCTAACAGCAATAACGAATCTTTAAGGTCATGCTCAATAGTGTGGCATAGTTATAATTAGTGAGTGGATTGAGTTACTAAAAGTATATGTAGATAGTTACAATACAATTCCAGCGGAATGCTTAGCAAAAGACAAACTAAGTTAAAGTAACTAATTAGCCACTAATCCAAATACGGACAGGGTTCAGGAGACAAGTATTCACTGTTGAATGGTAACAACGGCAGAAATAAATCAAAAAGTGTAATGTCTGATTAAAAGAAAAGACAATGGGTTTCAGACAAGTCCCCACACTTCTCTGGATAACAGGAAAGCATCGGTATGGTGACGGCAGCAACAAACCTGCCCAGATTTGTCGGATTGGGGTAGCAGAGTTGAGCGACAAATCGGGAGACGAAGTGGAGATTTCTCAAAACCCAACTCAGCAACGCCAAGCGGTAAACAAGACTAATTTAGATGAATTGCGTGTATGACTGTATGAACGCAATATACAACAAACTGAGTCTCGCCAAGATACAAAACGCTCACAGTAACAGCTATGTGGAGGACGAAGAGGCAAGCTGCAATTACCGTTCTTTTTCCCACGTATGCTTAGTGGTTTTAATAGGAATTTATTGAAATCACACCTTGAATTGCTTCGACTATGAGTTTAGCAGTAGTTGTTCCACTGACAGTAAGACTGCATAACATGTCGTGAATAACGTCGAAAAGGTTGGGTAAAATGGCACCTTGGCACATATGATAACCGGTTAGTAATTCCGTGCTGAAGAATGCCCTAAATGCGTTAAAATAGATTACGACTGCAATACAACCCAGGCCTTGGAATTTGTCTTTGGAGATTATATTGAAAGGACCTGTGTGAGTTGGATCAGAATAAGAGTAATGCATCCATGATGAGGATGCGCCCTTAACAGTCCGGAGGAGAGAAATCCAAGCTCACGAGTGTAAATGCAAAATCCAATTGGCAGCAACATGAAAATGGCTAAAATTAAACGTAGAAGATACGGAAGAAGTAGTGGAGCAAGATTTCAGGCAACAGCCAATTACATGCTAGCTACCGCGGGTTTACTTACTTACTATACTTCGGCTAGCTCCTGCGACAGGATGAGCCAGGTTCGTGAATGTCGCAGATTGCAGCTGCCCAAGCGGGGCGGTCGGCGGCCAGCTCCACGCAGATACTGATCCAATGATTTTTCCAGCGACGAGCATCATGCACAAGTTGGAGTCTAAGAAGATAAACATCGGATTTCACTGCAGAGAGCCACGTTTTCAAATGTCCACGCCGGCGACGACACCAACCCTGACAAGGCGAGGGCGAAACCACGGTCCTAGTGAAGTCAGTGTCTCGTCTGCGAAAGACAACCGAACCATTGATGTTTGCGGCATAGGATGAGCGTTGAGAGCTTCGGAAGAATGTAACAGCGCTTATGAACTCGGTCATTGGTAATACGCCTACGCCACTGCGTTTTCAAGATAAGTCTTAGACGTCAATGGTCGAAGACTTCCAGCTTCCGGGTGTCTTTGGATCGCAGTGGCCATGTTTCGCAATCATAGAGTAAAATGACACGGATGGTTGCTGAGAATACTTGGACTTTCGTTCTTAGACTAATTTCCGTCCTTTGTCACAATGTTTTTCTTAGTTGTAAGGCTTTTCTGGCGTTGTCAATACGATTCCAGATGTAGCCTGACTATTGGGGAGTATAGTGGATCTAAGGTACTTGAATTCAGGAAGACTCGATAAGTTGTCATGTAAGGAGAGCGACGGGGTGGACTGAGATGCTGAGGATGAGAAGTACTTCGTCTTGCTGATGTTAATTTCGAAGCCGATCAAAGGGACTGAGTGGTCGACCCGATTTAGAAGTGACTGTAGGGAGATAAGATCTGCAAGGATAGTGATATCGTCAGCAAATTCCAGGTCAGACAGAGTTCAGGGCTAATTTGAACACCACGATAACCTTTAAGAGCATGATGCATAACTCAGTCGACTGCGACACTGAATAGCAGTGGAGAAAGAAGGCAACCCCGCCGGACTAAGATATTGATGTTGAATTCCTCTGTTTCTTCTCCATAGACCCGAATCCGGGCCTTCGTGCAACGGCACGCCATCGGCAAGTAGGATTCTCAAGTGCTTCACAGTCAACTGAGACAAAGGCAGCTCGAAAAGCAACGAAGCAAACAAACGTTGGTTGCTGGAACTCGTAGCGGTGTTCGAGTACCCGACGTAGAGTAAGGAATTGGTCAGTGCAGCCTCCATCTGGACGAAAGCCATCTTGGTTATGACGAGTTCGCAGGTTCCTCTCATTGGCAAAGCGGAGGTTTTGGCAATCACCTCGAGTAGGCTAATCCCGTCATAATTACTGCACACAGTTCGGTCACTTTTCTTTGGAAATGGTAGTAATACGGAGGTACTACACGAGGAAGGACCGATTTCGGTCCCCCCATATCGAGCAGAAGAGCTAATGCAGAAGGTCAAGGAGGGCTAGTAGACAAGAGTCGTAGATTTCGGCTGGAATCCAGACCGCTCCAGGAACTTACTTCGGCTTTAGGCAGCGAACGATATGTATAACTTCGGTGGGAGATGGCGGTAAGCAATCCACGTCATATCCTGATTGGGTAAATGCTAAAATGGGTGCCGGAGTGTTTAGTAGGCGGTTTAGGAGATTGTTAAAATACTCTACCCATCTGGAAAGTTTTCCTTCTGTATCGGGGATGATTTTGTCATCCGAACTGCGCAGTATCGGCTGTGGTGAATAGCGTCTGCAGAAAACTAAACAGATAAGATGAAAAAATGACCAAAACTGCCAGAATTTCATGCAGCTTCTATGTTGCCTGTGATAACAGAGCAGTAGCCGTTGTGATCATTTCGTGCTAAGCGGGTAGCCTAAGGTCTCAAACGACGGTAGTCAGGGAAATTTGTGATGCGTGTTTCTCTCGCTTTAGTGGACAAGCAAGTAGTATCTCCAGTGATCCAGTCCTTCATGGGTTTAAAAGTAGAGCTCAGAGTGGCTAAAGCAGCGCGTTAACTGAGGATTCTAGCCTAGACCAACGGGCGCCGACAGATTCATTTTCTGCAAGTACGAAGCGTAGTACATGTCAGAAATCACTGCTTTTATTTCTGCCTCAATCGATGTGAAGTAGTCAGTATTTCCAGTGGGGCAGTGTTGATACGCTTTGGTGGAAGTCCTAAGGCGCGTTGGCAAGCGGAGTCTGAATTTGGCGAGCAGAAGTATGTGGTCCGAACCAGCTTTGTTGTCCGTTTCATCTCCTCTGTACGCTCGACAGTCATCGATGGTGGACATCCATTGGGGTCGGATTAAGATGCAATCTGTCTGCCTAGCTGTACGACCATCATTGGAGGACCACGTCAGTAGATGTTTGCTGAGAAGCTGGAAGCGAGTATTGGTTAGGCACAACCGGTTAAGGTCGGCAAAGCTGAGCAAGCGGTCGCCATTATCACAGCGCTCTTCAAGGGTGTATCTCCCGAGTAAGTAACTGGTCCAATCGTTACTCGACTCGGTTCGTGCATTCCAGTCCCCAGCAATAATGAAGATGTCGCGTTCTGGAACATAGTTCACCACTGTCTATAGAGAATCGTAAAATTCGTCTTCGCCCCTTTCCGCTGAGCAGAGTTTGTGCGCACAGAGATTATGGTCATATTCATCGGGTGACCTTTGAAACGAACAACTGCTATTCTAGCTGATACTGGTTTGAAAGGAGAGCGTTGTCTGCGTGGCAAGTGAGAGCCATGGCGACCCCATAATTGCCAGAATTATTTTCCTGCTCAGTGTGGTAAAGGTAATAGGTGTTCACAGCAGGGACTTTGATTTGTCTAGAACCAAAGCCGGATATTCGACATTCTGAGAGGTATGCTATATCGATCTGGTAGTCAAGTAGTGTGCGCATCGTCAACGCTTGGCTACTGACAGCCAACAGGGTTCTGACATTGCCGCATCCAATGAATAAGGGCTTCCGCGGATTAAGGGACTCAGCTAGCTTACTTGTCACTCTTGCCACTGGGACAGCGCAGAGAGCGTCATTTACCAGGAACGCCGTAGCATGAGAAGGATCACGGGTGAAGGACATGAGGATTATGGGTACGTACGAGGACCCGAACTTCATCTGGCTTTTGTTCGAAGGTTCACCTCTAGCCTTTACACATCCAAATGCTACCTGCAAGACAGCAAGGATCTGGGAAATTGTCTTAACTTCTAGCCATTGGATTAGGGTCGATCTCTTCCGTCCAGTTGTCAGGACTGAAGTTGCATGCGGGTACGAACTCACCGAGAATAACGCTCCCAGCTACCCTCACCTGGTTTAGCCCGTCTGCCTGACGGTTTACCGGAGTGTGGCCGCTGCCGCGTGTAAGCAGCTTCTTGGAGTCACAGGTGAGAGCTGGGTGACAGGTGTAGATCAAAGATAGGCGGACTACCCCGGAGAGTAAGGTAGGTCCGTTGCCAGAGGTACTACTCCTCCCTGGCACTCGGACACCGCTTTGCTCCTTGCTGTACAGTACTCTGGCTTCAGATGGCAGTAAACCGAGAGCAACAGACCTCCTCACAACCAAAATGAATAATTTAAGGTGCAATTGTTCAAAGTCCTTTGTACTCGTAAAGTGACTTCTATGGAAGTTTTAAAGGAAGGGAACCATCGACTACTGCTGTTTTTTAGTTTGCATGATCTCTAACTAGTGACCCGGCAAGGCACTAGCAGTACAAAGATACGTAGTAGACGCTTCGCGGTCGCGCAACCACCACCGGTCGCACGTGGGCTAAGGATACTGCGAGGGTCTCCCGATCTCTAAGCAGGCTGGAATCAGCGCTCACAGATTACAAAACGGCCTTGTAATCCTTAAGGTTACGAGCCGGCCACTAGTGACCGAATGGTCTGAAAATTGTAACGTGCGCAGGTGGAAATGAGCTAGCAGCATATCTAATCCACGCGCAACTGGTGTCACAGTAGCAGCAAAGCATCGGTACGGCGTGCTGGTGTATTGTAGCATAACAGGGCACTAGATAACGACGGCATCCAGAGTAGTATATCAAAGGCAACATTCAGTGTCATCGCAACGGCTGAAGTAAAACGTTCGCCAGCTTTGTCGGAATCACAACGAACACAGCGAAGCAAGGGATTGGCAATAGTAGTCTGAAGTAAAACAACGGAGATAAATACAGTCTGAAGTAAGCGCCAATCCGCATAAGTGCAGCAGGGTCAGACTATAATCCATAGACACCCGTCCTAGTTAAAAAGCTCATAAGCAGTTCCCACTTAGTACTAAGGTAGTGAAACAACACAAATCACTAACTTTGTGATTGGTGGTGGCAAGGAAATGCAGTAGAGCGAGCCTGCTCATTGAAACCTTTCAGGCATTTTCAAGCGCGGCAGCCTAAAGAGCAGCGTGTACTAACTCTTCCTGAAGGCCATCTGCCAGGAGCCAGCCAATGGGAACGTGTGTATGTTGAAATCGGCCAATGACATCGCTTCTAACTTAGAAGCCAACTAACGGCAGTCCGTACATATCTAGGGTAGTTTCTGGCTGCACAAAACCCATTTCGGCGTATTTTCCGCTCAGATCCATAATTAAGGCCCCTTTGACTATTGATAATGCTACGTCTTCTTAAGCACGATTGAGGACTTTGTCAAGGGCTTTGTCTTCTGATTCGGGAAGTCGCTGATACGGGATTCAAAACACCAGTATCGGTTATCCGTGTCGTCAACGGAGGCACAAAAGTGCATTCGTGGTTCGTCAACCCGTTTGGAATGATCAGTCGTGAACACCATCATTAGGACTGATTTCAATAAGTTAGCTAGGATGATCGCACTTCCCCCACACGCTACAACAAATGAATCAACGCCCATAAATAGTGAGGGCAGGGAAGAATCCGGACCAGCGTCGCTAAAGGGCTGTTCTGTTCAATGCAGCGGGACAAATACGATCAGGGGGCTGAAGAGCAGTATATTTGGTAATCACGACTTGTTAAATTGGCAATAAATAATAAAGATTATAAAATGAGAACAAAAAGAGAATAAAATGAAATGTAATCCAGATTAAAGTGCGTAAAACTAATCGGGATGGAATGAAAATTAGGAGTTGAGAACCATGACAAATATGGGGTCACAATAAGAGTATCCAAATTAAATGTCCACAGTGACCTCCAAATGAATGAGATGCAGCTTAAAGACACAAGAGCAAGTAGTGTTCATGGAAATCCTCTGTTTATTGACCTTTCGCCAACCTCTGCGCGGACTGGATTTGCCTAACCCCATCATTTACCTATCTCTGGTGAATTCGCGTGAGACAAACCAGTGTAACCGAATCGAGGCAGAAAAGTACGAACCATTGCTTCATTGAAATCCAGGAGCATAATGACTGCTACGCATCATGAACACAGCAGTCACAAATGTAGAGGGGGATTAGAAGCAGGGCAATCCTGACAAACTCTTGAGATGCGGTAAACCGACGAGACCCAACTCCTACCGTTAGTGAAATGACTGAAACAGGCAAATTCACACCGCGTAGGCCGTCCCGTATCGGAGGTAGACTTATTCCACACAACACTGAAGGTATTTTGGTTGTAGTTACTTTCATTCTGTAACTCATTCCTCCTCACAAAGATCGCCATTCATGATCTCCGAATGCAAGCCGCTAAGGCAATAGGAAGGCCATACAAGGCAATACTGCGTTGCTCTTTCGTCTGCGGTCTTCGGTCACAATGGAAGGGGCGTTGCTTCTTGTCACACATGCGGACAGGAGGAACAAATTTCTGGGTAGATCGTCAAAAGAAAACAACTGCGGTCAATGCAGGCAGGACGCCACAGATGACTTTACTTGGTGTCAAATAATACTAAAGTTCATCGTGCAGCGTCCAGCAGCGTCACCATCATCACGAACAGCAGTACATCAGCCATTTGAACTGTTGCTTCGCTGCCGCACAACAATGGTGACCTACGGATTGTGGCAGACTTCTTTGTGCAGCACTGGAGCGACGACTGAGCTAGAGCCGCCCACCAAATGCTCCACAAACGTGCAGTCCAATCGCAAGTGTATGTATTGTTTGCCAATGTTGAATAAATGAAAAAATCCCAAAAGGGACGAGTTAATGATATGAAGGAAACTGCCGAAAGGTTAAACAAGGGTGTTCAGTTCGGTTTAGTAAAACTACGATGATCAGGGCACGAAAGTTGAGCGGATCCAGTAGGCAAGGCTAAGCCCCGAGATAAAAAAGGTTGTCAAAATGAGGTGGAACATAAACATTAAAAAATGGATAAGAAGCGTGCAAGATTAACCGGGATGGAATAGTAAAGGTAGAAACAGGAAGCCGAATGCAAGAGCCCTGGATGCGTTTCCGCGCCATATCTCTCTAACTACCGAAGATGACCAAACCTAGGTCTCCGCACACGGTTTCATGCACCAGCCTGACCAAGTCCCCTAGACAATTTCTTCATGCTGGTAGTATCTCTTTCGGACATGGATTTTGAGACATGCCATACCATATAAGTTGGAAACAAAAGAGTATTTTACACTCACTCTCCTGGTTCCGATCATTAACCAGAATAACTGTTCGCTCGTGAATTGCAAATGCCGTTGCATTTTTAGCGATGTGAGCAAGGCCAGCCAAATTCACAGCATTTCGGTGCAAGGGCCAAAGGTTAAGTATTCGAACCAAACCGACCTGGTAGGACGTTCAACTACCAAAGCGCAAGTAAAGATTCATACCAAAATAATGCCGGTGAGCAGAAGCAAAGGGATGAAGACGCGTTATAAACAGATGTACGCGGCATATGGCGTTAGCACGGTGCAAAATGGAATCGTCAGCAAACAAGGATAAACCAAAAACATCATAGATATATGGCGCTAGAAAATTGCACGAAATCTACAGACTCACTATGTACATGTTGTCATCTTCGGAAGGCTCTTCTTTGAGGCATGCTAGAGGAGCAACCTGCAAGATTATGCGGAGATTAAAACCCACCTCGCGCATGCTTATCATGTTGCTTGGAGACTGTAAGTTTATGGTAGGTATACGGAATCCCTTTTTCGTCTGGGAACATGGAAGTGATTGGTAAATTGCGAACCTTCAGGTCCAGCAAAATGTTTCCAGCAGCGGACCGAATGTCGCCAGAAGGACCAGTACAAGATATGCGCATGAGATCAGCGATCTGCTCTCTTATCAGACCATGCATTGACGTGTCCAAAGTTGTTCCACCGGTATCATCGGCGACGGACTCAAGAAATCCGGCAACCGCAGGACTACCAAAGCCAAAGTACCAGGAATCAATTGTGCGTTGAAGTGTTAGGAAATCTTCCCTCCTCAAAGCTTCATCACGTTGCCAGAAGCCGTGAAGTAGATTTAAGGAGTCGACACTGCGTTTGAACAAAGAACCACAATGTCTTTCGCAAATGAAGCTCATGCCACCATGCGAAGAACCCACCAGATGGTTCGAACGAAGGGGTCGAAGTTTGATTCTTCGTCCACCAACCAAGGTCACACAAGGCCAACACAGACAATGGTCAAGGTAATGCTTTGATTAAACTTAAAACCATGGCTAATAATCACACCTTTGGTTTATATAGTAGTGGCAGCGTACAGTTTACTACTATACCAAAATTTATTTGATTTGTATTACTGTTCCATAATTGTTTTCGGTTTCCTCCTCCATGGCGAGTCATTGGTTCATTGTTTGTTCATTGGGTGGTAAAGAGCAGAACAAAGTTCCTCTGTCAGCTCTATCACTTTCCGAACGTTGCGATGGTTGCTGGGGTCATTGTGGAACAAGGTTCCATAACAGATCGCTATGGTTGTATTGTGGGCGGTAGAATCCCTGCGCACTCAGAGAGTGGGTACCCAACAGTCGTTTGAAACTTTCCACAGTCTCCGCATTGACGACAGCCTCTGGCAAGCTGTTCCAGTCACTCACTACCCGGGTGGATAGGGGCAGGTCAAACCGCACACCGTGTCGCCTCTGTTTGAAAAGTTTCCACCGGTGGACTCGAGTTGCATACTTTTGTTGAGACCAAAGAAAGATTGCAGCACACTCCCAAACTCACCTCACAGAATACGCTAAGTAAATATCATATCCGTGGCGACGACGATAATCCAAAGGGAAGAAGTTTAACCGTTGAAGCCGTAGGAGGTAAGATATGTCCCGCAACTCAGGAACGGATGTGGATCCACGCCGTTGTACCTTCCCGATCATGTCATGTTCGGACTTGGTGTGAGCATACGCAGCAGGCAGTCCGTACCCCGGAACTGGGCACACATGCGAAACAAACAGAAGTCGGAAGAGTGCTGGGGTCAGGTTTGTATATCGTATATTGTGAAGTATTCGGTAGACGGATGCGACACTCCTCCGGGTGTCCTCGATTGATTTGAGATCAATTGACACTATCACCCGAGATCCCTCTCTTGGTTGACATCTCTGAGCAAGTAACCGCCGATATCTTGAGCCCAAACGTCTCAGGAGTACCGATTGGAAGGACAGCGCATTTGTCAGGGTTAATGAGCAACTGTCACTTTAGCGAGCAATGGTGGGGCAGATCGAGTGTCGCTTGAAGTCTGTCTGCATCTTCCAGACTGGATACATCCAAACACAGCTTCAGATCCTCCGCATAGATTAGGCAGCCGGTCTGCAGTTCGGCTAGCAGTAAATTAACATTATTGTGTTTGCTGTCTTTTTAAAGTTTGACTTTCAAAGGACAGTTTCGGAATCGTGTTCACAAGCGACTTGCAAAAATTTGACTTGTCAAATTTCGTTTGATCCAAATAATTTCGGATCATCCTTTTCCACGGATTACGTCGTACCCGTACTCTGATACTCACCAAACGGCGTCCATCCTTTTCGGGTTCAGCCTCTGGCTACTTATCCGGTATTTTTGGGTTGGGTAATACTTGTTGCACATTGTTTTGACCAAAAACTGTCGCTGCTGTTTGCTTTGCAGGTAGCAGCATGTCAGTTTTGTGTTAAGGTACTCGTTTCACACTCTTTGCAAACGCCGTGTCGGATTCACTGGATAGTGATGCTAATGTGTCTTCGGCTGCGTTGCTGAGCGAATCCAATGCTGTATGCGGTCGCGGGAGCTGCTCAAATCCCGTGACGGAGGGGTCTGGTGGCTTACAGTGCTATGGATGCAACTGCTGGTACCAAGTTGCCTGTACCGATTGCAAGCCCGCTCAGTACGATGGGCTTTCGACTAGCAAAAGTATGTTGTTCAACTCTCTTCTATGCCCTAGCCTTCGGTCTACGCCTCTTGAGACCACTGAGGAGACATAAAGCAACGTCGGGCTGGGTAACCAAAACATGTGGTATTTCCTCAAACCTCTTGATCTCAAAGTGGGGTTACTGAGGAGGAAGATGAGTCCCTATCGCTGTCGGCTCATTTGGAGAAGCCAAGCAACTAACCACCCTCGCTGTGCATTAAAATCCGACTGTGGTTGTGGTTACCGTGTCGTGTGTCCCAGCGGCCCAGAATGCCACCAACATGTCCTCTGATGTCGTACTATCCGTCGTTCAAGGCAAGCCAGATGTTCTGTTCCCCGTGTCCAATAAAAGCAAGAGGAAGAGGGCTAAGTAAATCCGCAAGTCTCCCTGAATCCTGAACATACTGAACCCATAATGGTAATGGCGGTGGAGCCTCAAGCTCCAACTCCCAGCACCCCAGTTCCATGGGAGAAGAAACGCTCCGAGTCGACTTCCGCCACACCCGTCAAGTCCAAAACGAGTGGACAGGTGAGGGAGTTGGAGCTAGAACGCAAGCATCAACCTTAATTACTCCAGCTCCCTTGGCGAAGAAGCACGCCGTGTCACCGGGCAAACCGGTCGAAAATGGGGTCGAGTCGAAGGCTCGTGGGGTGAACATGCCTCGTCGATGTGCTACTTTTACTGATAGCAGTGCTGTTTTCCACAACGTTGCTGTATCCGTGACAGCTATTCCTGATGAACGCATGCTGAATGACCTCCAGTGGTTCAAGCTGTGCGTCAGTAAGCTGCCCCCACCTTGTTTCCACGTTATCCCTATCAGGTAGCTAACCTGATTGGTGAACGTCCCTGTAGCTACTCCTAATCTGCGACACCGTCTACCTGGTGTAGTCCTCTCAACCTCGAGGAAAGTAAAGCGTTAATGCTCATTGCATTCAAACATAGGGTAGTAATGTCAGCTTTTAGCCGGACTACACACTAGCAGATCGATTGAAGTTAAAGGAAGCCATCGAATGCTTCAACAGCAATCAGGTAGCTAGTGAGCAAGGCATTCGTCTTGTGGGTTTCCAAGTGGTCAGTTAAAAGTCAAATTCCGCCCATACCAGAACCCCTTTTAGCGCGCGAACCAAATCTGGACGTGCCATATTCCTTGGGGTAGTTTTTAGTAATTTGCGTAGCCTAAGGAACAAAGTACACGAAGTGGGTCCACGTATAGACAAATCTCGTCCCGACATACTTGCTTCCACTGAAACGTTGTTCCCGGATGTAACAGACGGTGATGTAGGTTTACCTGGCTACGCTCTGCTTAGTTGTGATCGCTACGTTGGTCGCCCAAGTGAGGCGCCGCTCTTTATGTGAGTTATAAACTTGTTGTGTTGAAGAGCTGTGTATTCCAGTCGACGGAGCAAGCTGTTCCAGCTCAATCGAGTACAGTGTGCCCTTCCACTGCTAAGTTTACAGCTGTCGCCTTATAGCGAAGTCCTGGACGTATCTCCAGAGAGGTCATTGAGCTTATTCGTACCCTGACTGCCAATAAGTGACTAATACTGGGTGAATTCCACCTCCCTGAAGTCTGCTGAGATGACCTGCCATGCAGTTCGGCGGTGGGCACTATGCTTTCGGATCTGCTCGAATTAACACTGCAACTGCGTTTTCATCAGTTCATGCATCTCCCGACTACATATATAGGCAACAACTCACCGTCTACCTTGGAGCTCAGTTTTACGAAGTCACACAATTTCGTAAGTGTTATAACACACAGCTGTCCTCCAGGCGCCAGTGACCATGCGTGCGTATCCTTTCGATGCGTTCTAAGTAAGTGTCATCCAGCTACCGCAGAGGCATGTCCAACTATTTGGCGGGCGGTCTATAACGTACTGCGAGACAACGCTTCGATTCTGCGTTGCGCGATCACCGTGGCCGACACAGTTGAGTCAGCCTGGGAGCAAATTAATTCATACCTCAACTAGATCGCTGCCCCCCACACCCCACTCATTAAGCAATGGGTGACAGGGGCGCAGCCTCCTTGAAAGATGGTATAGGTAAATACCTGCTCAGGAAGCGTTATAAGTGATGGCGAACTTACCAAGCGGCTTCATTAACCAGCACCTACGAAAGCTATCGCGCTGGTAGAAATAAACGTAAGCAACAGCTTAAGAATTTTCGTCTTCAGCACGAGGAGGATTTGACTGACGCAGCCAAACAACTCCAAAGTTCTTTGCTTACGTAAAGAGGCGCAGCCGTATAAACACGTCTATACCAGCTTTCCTATGAGCAGATAGGACCCGAGTGTATACAGACTATGATAAGGCTGGTATACTTAGCGAACAGTATAATGGTGCCTTTTATCGTGAGGCCTGTCTACCTCAGGTTGTGCTGGTCACAAAAGTCCCAGAGGATACTTGCCTAAGTGAAATCAGCGTAACGTAGACACAAGTCTTCGGGCTATTCTAAGAGCTAAATTTTTCCAGATCTTCTGGCCCTGCTGCAATTCTTCGGAAGCTGATGCCTTAATAGACCGCTGGGCTAAGTAGCAGTCTGATATGCAGGTTTAAAATAGGGCTCGACAAATGTGTCTTACCTTCGGAATAGAAGTAGGCAGCCATCTGTCCGATTTTTCTGGTCGGCGACAGAGTTCCGCCGGCGAACTTCAGGCCTGTCAGCTTAGCAGGCGTAGTGAATAAATAAATAACTATTTTATTCGCGCTTATGCGCGGCACGCCCATGGAGACATAAGCAAGTGTGTGCAACTGTACAGACATGTTATGGCAACTGTAACAATGAGAGTAGAAAATGTTCATATTTTCAGCTTGGAACTGTACAGTGGTGGACAGGCGAACCAATAATTTGGCTGTCGTGAGAGCGAGACCCGTTTGTTAGTACATAATCGGTCTGCCACATATTGCAGTCATGCTTCGGATAATAACCGACTGAGAATCCTGGATGATCCATTAAAACCTAATTGAAGGGCACACTCCAAAGTGCCATGATAGTATAGTGAGTACGTGTATAAGTAACGCAAAGATCAACGCAAAGATCAACATTGGCGGGCACCTACTCAAGATTGTCACACAGGAGAATGGCCTGGGGACAATAATCGCTGATCTAAAAACGACCCTTGACACGTTAAAGAAAACTGCTGCGGCGAACAGGATGTGGGGCGCCATAAGGAGATCATTCTCTAAAATGACGTTGCAGATATTTAGACTTATTTTCACCTCCCATATCCGTCCCATTCTTGAATTCGGACATCCGGCCATAGCCCCTTTATCTAAACATGAAAGTGACAAGATAGAAAAA